ATTATTCTTTATTTGGTATCTTTATCATGATTCTTATTCTTCTAACTTCTGCAGAGGTACATCCGTGAGGAGTTATTGGTTGCTGGGAAGTTTGATGTCTGTGTCACAAGTTTTGAAATGGCCATCAAGGAGAAGTCTGCCTTGCGTCGTTTTAGTTGGCGCTATATAATTATTGATGAAGCCCATCGAATCAAGAATGAGAATTCACTCCTTTCAAAAACAATGAGACTTTACAACACTAATTACCGTCTTCTTATTACGGGTACTCCACTTCAGGTATGCATTTAAATGGTCTTTGCCATGGAAGCACTTAGTGAGTTTCTGATTCCATTTCTGATGTCTGCTTAGCTTCACTATAAATGCTTATGCTATTTTCTACTCCTAGACTTGCATTTAAATTGATGTTGGTCAAGCACATCTTCTTTTCTTGGTTGGATGAATTCTAGTTGCCATCTTAAATGATTTGATGATTTTTACCTTTTTATGTTTTTTATTTATTTTGTACTTCATTTGTGGTTCTTATATCTGTGATCAGTAGTGAATGGTGACTGCTTTTCTTGTCTTGTTAATTAGGCATACTTGATTCATTTTAGTACTTATATTGTATGATATATGTCATAATCTTGATATCGTTTTTTGTACAGAATAATCTCCATGAGCTTTGGTCTCTTCTTAACTTTTTACTGCCGGAGATTTTTAGTTCAGCTGAAACTTTTGATGAGTGGTTTCAAATTTCTGGTGAAAATGACCAGCAGGAAGTTGTTCAACAACTTCACAAGGCAAGTTAAAAACCTTATCTCTATTCATGCCAGGCCTGTGGGTTTGTACAAATAATTAACATTCTTTGTCTCTGCATCTTTAGGTTCTTCGGCCATTTCTCCTTCGGAGATTGAAATCAGATGTTGAGAAAGGTTTGCCTCCCAAAAAGGAAACTATCCTTAAAGTAGGAATGTCTCAGATGCAGAAACAGTACTATCGGGCTTTGCTGCAAAAAGATCTTGAAGTTGTTAACGCTGGTGGAGAGCGTAAGCGTCTTTTGAACATTGCAATGCAGCTGCGTAAATGCTGTAATCACCCATATCTTTTCCAAGGTGCTGAACCTGGACCTCCATATACTACAGGAGACCATCTTATAACCAATGCCGGTAAGTGTACTTCCTGGAGGATGTTGAATCCATTGGTGTTCAATGAAAGCTGACCTTTTCTGATTTATTTCCAGGTAAAATGGTTCTCTTGGACAAGTTACTTCCAAAGTTGAAGGAGCGTGATTCTAGAGTTCTGATATTTTCACAGGTAATCTTGAGGGTTGCCTAGAATTTATCTATTTGTATACGGATGCCTCTGTATACGAATGTGTCAGTCATTGGTCTATACATTTCCCTATGTTATTCTTCTAATTTAATTTTATTTACATCATTTACATTGTTTCATGTCTTTATCCATTTTCTTACTTCCTTCTTTGTGATTTTGCTGCGGTAATTTATTATATTCAGATGACAAGGCTGCTGGATATTCTTGAAGATTATTTGATATTTTGTGGGTACCAGTATTGCCGGATTGATGGTAATACAGGTGGAGAAGATCGTGATGCTTCCATTGAAGCCTTTAATAAGCCAGGAAGTGAGAAATTTGTTTTCTTGTTATCAACTAGAGCTGGAGGCCTTGGTATTAATCTTGCTACAGCGGATGTTGTCATCCTTTATGATAGTGACTGGTAAGCAGCTACCTATTTTTATAATTGTGTTTCATCCTTGTTGGATCAATGATAGTAGGGGAATCTTGCAGGAACCCACAAGTTGATTTGCAAGCACAGGATCGCGCTCATAGGATTGGTCAAAAGAAGGAAGTTCAAGTGTTCCGCTTTTGCACAGAGGTTGGAAAATTGTCTTTTATGCTAGTTGAGAAGTTAGCCTATGCTATGGTAGACTTATTTGTTTGTTTATTATGAAACAGTACACTATCGAGGAAAAGGTGATTGAGAGGGCCTATAAAAAGCTTGCCCTGGATGCTCTGGTTATTCAACAAGGACGATTAGCAGAGCAGAAAAGCAAGAAGCTTCTTCACAGTGCAGTTGTTTTACTTGATGCAATAATTTGTTGATTCTGTATCTGTAACATTTCAATATCTTCTGGTTTTATGCAGCTGTTAACAAGGATGAGTTGCTTCAAATGGTGAGGTTTGGTGCTGAAATGGTCTTCAGTTCCAAGGATAGCACAATTACAGATGAAGACATTGATAGAATCATTGCCAAAGGAGAAGCAGCAACGGCTGAACTTGATGCCAAGATGAAGAAATTTACAGAAGATGCAATTAAATTTAAGATGGATGATAGTATGCCCCTCTTGCTCTTGTTTTGTTTGTTTGTGAATTTATTGCCCTATATAAACAACTTGTTTTGTTTGCTTGTGAGTTTATTGCCCTATATAAACAATCATTTTTTTAACCATTGACATTGTTCTGTTTTTGTAGCTGCTGAATTGTATGATTTTGATGATGACAAGGTAAGCACATCCCTTGTTTTTTGTCACCAATCTTTCTGTTTGGTCTTTGCTAAGTCCAGTGTTTTAACAGTGCCCTTTATTAATGGTTGGTGCTTTTATTTTCTTCTTGATAAAGGATGAGAACAAGTTTGACTTCAAGAAAATTGTGAGTGAAAACTGGATTGAACCACCAAAAAGAGAGCGGAAGCGGAAGTAAGTTGGTTATTTCAGCATTCTACTTAATTTGTTCTTTATTTATCTTTTGCTTTATTTGACTTGTATTTCTCCTTTCTGTAAATCAGTTACTCAGAATCTGAGTACTTTAAACAAACCATGCGCCAAGGTGGTCCAGCAAAACCCAAGGAGCCTCGAATTCCTCGCATGCCTCAACTGTAAGCCCTTTCACAAACTAATGTTTGTTGTGTAGTTTGCATTGTTAGATGTTGTAGCTAATTCAAAATTTACTATTTCTCAGGCATGATTTCCAATTTTTTAACACTCAGAGGCTAAGCGAGTTGTATGAGAAAGAAGTACGCTATCTCATGGTATGGATGATCTGAGATAATACCAATTTTTATTTTCTCCATTAAGTTGTTGGTGTTGATTATGAGTTATCTTCTGACTGGATTTTTTTCAATTAAAATCAGCAAACACATCAGAAGAATCAGATCAAGGACACGATTGATGTGGATGAACCTGAAGGTATTTTACCTTTGCCATATAATGTGTTGCGATATGGCACACAATGTTCTTTATGCCTGTTTGACTAAGAGTCTCGTGTGTTTAGAAGTTGGAGATCCATTAACTGCTGAAGAGTTGGAAGAAAAGGAGCGGCTATTAGAAGAGGTGAGTGGAATGTGGTGTGTGTGTGTTATGTTTTTATTTGTTGGCTGCTTTGCTTAAACTTAATTTTTGGTGCTTTAGGGATTTTCTTCATGGAGTAGAAGAGATTTCAATACTTTCATTAGAGCTTGTGAGAAGTATGGACGAAATGATATAAAAAATATTGCTTCAGAAATGGAAGGGAAAACTGAGGAGGAAGTGGAAAGATATGCTAAAGTTTTTAAAACACGATACAAAGAGTTAAATGGTAAGTAATCTCTGATGTCATGTTATTGTTGCCTTGTTTGTGTTGGTTTTAAATGTCCATAATTGTTTCTCTAGATGTATAATTAAGTATTAAAATTTGACAATTTTTAATTATATTTCTTCCAGGAGCTTGATAAATATGATTGAAATATATGTATGCATGCAAAAACATATGCTACACAGATCATAGAATAGTGTTTGATTAGTTCAACTAGTTTTAATAACTGGTTCTGGACAAGGGCTCTTATTCTACAATAATTGTTGAATTTTTTATGCAGATTATGATAGGATAATTAAGAACATTGAACGAGGAGAGGCCAGAATTTCTAGGAAAGATGAGATCATGAAAGCGATTGGCAAGAAATTGGATCGATACAAGAATCCGTGGCTGGAAATGAAGATCCAGTATGGTCAGAACAAAGGAAAGCTGTACAATGAAGAATGTGATCGTTTCATGGTGCGTCTTTAAATTCTTTTCACCATACACGATATTCGGATCCACCTTAATCTTTTTTTTTTTTCCTCATATTTATGCCTTTGCATCATATGTAAACAGATATGCATGGTACACAAGCTTGGTTATGGGAATTGGGAGGAGTTGAAGGCGGCATTCCGTACCTCACCCTTATTTCGATTTGATTGGTTTGTGAAGTCACGGACAACTCAAGAGCTGGCAAGGAGGTGTGATACCCTCATTCGATTGGTTGAGAAGGAAAACCAAGAATATGACGAGAGGGAGCGACAAGCCCGCAAGGAGAAGAAACTTGCCAAGGTTTTGCTTATCTTTTACCTTATCTGTTACTACCAAAACGCCAATTGCCCAGTACATGCACGAGTCACATGCTTGTTATGATGCACCATTCTTCTTTGTTTGATTCATTTAGATTATACATTTCTGTGGTTTACCATGTTTATACCTGTTGAGTCTTCCTATCATGATTCTCATCCTATATTTCAGAACATGACACCATCAAAGCGTGGTGGGAGGCAGCCAACCGAGAGTCCTACTCAACAAAAGAAAAGGAAGCAGCTATCGATGGATGATTACGTGATCTCGGTTTGTTTCATACAGAAATCTGACAATTATGTGATGAATTTTGTTTTATTTTTCTTATAAAAAGTGGTATTGGTGTCATTTTGCAGGGGAAAAAGAGGAAGTGATATTCAGTAATGTGAACTACAAATTTTGGGTTTAAAGCAGAAATGTCATGATGAGGAGTTGGACTGTAGTTTGCATAATAAACTCTGGGTGTAACTCTTTGGCTCTTGTAAGGAACCAATCTGTATTTGGCTGACTATTACTTTAGTATATCATATACGATAAAATCCATGGCTGACTATTACAGAAATATCATGATGAGGAGTTGGACTGTAGTTTGCCTGATACCGTGCTTTTTTTTTTTTTTTATCAAAAAGATATTCTAAAAATAAATTCAATTAAAATGGAAACTTGAGTGGCATTCGAAAAATGTAGGTGTTTATAATTTCTTTAATTTGTTCGCAACATGTAAGTCTACATTTTGCCTTTCCATTGTCAAAACAAAAAGGAGGTAGAAATTCGTTGCCGAGCCAAAACCAAAGATTAATTGAAGGTTTCTTGTACCAAATGGAGACAGAAAAAGGATATCAGAAATATGCAAATGACTGGAACCTTTAGTAATATTGTAGTCTGCAACAACACGATCTAACTCGACTGAGGTAATACTGTCTTTTAATATGGATACAATTCGATACGTTGAACAATCCTAATCAATGTTCCAGTGTAGTCAAACACCTTAAATTCAAGAAATACCAACACTTTCAGGATTGGGTGCCAAAAGTCCAATGGAACTCGAATCATCCAGGGGCCAAGCCAATCAGTTCGTTAGAAGAGAAATAGATTAAGATAGGAAAGAAGTAATTACACAGAACAATATGATGATGATAATCATCATCATACATGAAAAATAATATGATGAAACCTCTTTGTATAAGCCGAAAACAGACCGATTCAGAAATCCATGCATATGAACTGTACGACTTCAAAAGACGTAACACCAACACCAATGAGACATCCACACAAAACCCACCAAGTTTCCCCATGTACAAGACAATATACGAGGCAAAAATTCATCTTCCCAACATGAATCTCACAAAATTAAAAAAAAAAAGAAAGCCTAAATACATAGATTAACATGTTGCATGCAACACTTTTTGGTGGCGGAATTTACCTGTGAATACCCCAAATCATTCAACCACTCTTGATCCCTTCTTTAACTGTGTTTCTTCCTTCAACCACCTGATTGGAGCATTCAGTTTCATACTCAACTACAAGAATGATTATAGGACAAGCAACAACAGTCCAAGTTGGAAAAATGCATGAACTTCTTATTTCCAGGGTAGAAATGGAGACAGACAGTAAAGGATGGTGTATCTTCAAAGTTTTCTTCTTTTCCATTGACTACCCTTAAAATGATACAAAACATGTCTTCACTTGAAAGAGCAAAATGACATCAATTAGTGTTTTGGCAGCATCAATCATTTGTACCATCAAAGCTACCCAAAGCGTTTGCATATTTTTTCTCCCTCCAATTCTCACCCCATACTTTAGCTGCTGCAACAGCACGTTCTCTATCAAGATCATGATTACGTAGAGTTTCCCTTGCTCTCACAGCATTAAGAGGGCTGTCTCTATGAGATTCCTGTCGATCTGAATCATCCAAACCCCATTTCCTCCCTGACCTCCCACCAGTTTCATTCCTACCTAACTCTGCACCTGTGCTCAATTCCCTAGCATGATTCCTCTTCCTGTAATCAGGTGAATTTCTATGGGTAGAAGGGGAACCATGTTGTCCATGCTCATCCGGGCTATCCAACCCATCTGCCATACTCCTTCGATCATCCTTGAGTCTTGGAGTTGATGGACCAACTCTGTTGCTTTGACTGCTGGGTGCATTTGGGTCATAGGCTTGTGAGGCTAAATATGTAAGGGCTGTCACAACATCGCCTATTAGAGGCCTTGTAGCAGCTTGTTCCTGCAAACACATTGCTGCAACTGCAAGAGCTTGGTACAATCCCCGCATTGGATAACGACCTTGTAGTAGTGGGTCAGCCATTTTCGGAAACTTCCTACGATCTTTGAAAAGTGGTCGCGCCTGCAAACCCCCATTTTCACAAGATAGAAAAGTACAAGAAAACTTGATTTTAAGTCAAAGCAGTAAATAAAATATAACAGTCATTCAGCATAAGCATCAATTTTGGAAGAAATCTCTTGGAATCATGGCAGGGTAGAAGAGAAAAGATACTTACCCATGCAACAAGATTATGCTCTCCAGGAGGACGCGCATTATCAATGGCCTTGCGTCCTGTGATAAGCTCAAGGAAGACCACTCCAAAACTATAAACATCAGATTTTAGAGTAAGCTGGCCAGTCATTGCATATTCTGGAGCACAATAACCATAAGTGCCCATCACACGTGTGGACACATGGGTTTTGTCACCAACTGGTCCCAGTTTTGCAAGCCCGAAATCTGATAATTTAGGGTGATAGCCTTCGTCAAGAAGGATGTTGGATGATTTTAAGTCCCTGTATATAACAGGAGGGTTAGCTTTATCATGCAAGTATTCCAATCCCTTGGCTGCACCAGCTGCAATCTTCATTCTCGTATTCCAGTCCAGAGGTTCCTTGTCTGGTGGAAAATCTGAAAACAAATTTAAAACAAGGCAATCACTGTGGTCTGCCAAAAGTGTGATTCTCTAATTCCTACCTTATATAACATTAATTAAATGAGTGTGATTCTCTAATTCTTACCTTATATAACATTAATTAAATGAGTATGATATAAGCCACTGGAGAAAATACAGCTAATGTTCAGTGCAACCTTAATACAAAAGTATCAATGAAATGCAATTTAAAAGTTATGATCATGATGAGATATATAATTAAAAACCCAAGCCAACAGAACAGTTTCAAGGATGAGATGATTCCACATCAATTGCTTCCTAATTAAGAGTGAAGATTCTGATGTCCAGCTACATAGAGATATTGTTATTAATGTTTGAATGTTTATTCTCACAATAATAACAACATTGCAAGGACCTATGAAGCACAGGCACAGACACACAATACGGTTACAACAAGATACGGACACGGTGACACAGGAATTTCTAAAAAATGAGGACACGGCAATAAAAGAATATCTTTTATATATTATAATCATCAGTTAAAAATAAATGATAGATATTGAACTGATTTTTAAAAGATATTTACCCTTGTAAAAAAACTAATGATAGACACATCAATAAAAGAACATATGGGTCATTATCCCCACGTGAATAGTCTTGTTCTTCCTTTTCTTCTTCTTTTTTGTATCCAGCCAAGTTCAAGACATATTTCGGTGTGTTAAAAGTGTCAAAGTGTCGGGCACAGATACGACATGGGTACGTGATGGGTTCAGAAATGTCCATGCTTCATAGGTGAGGACATTCTTATAGTAACAAGTGAAGTTAGATTTCATCTTTATTTTGTGTTGATGCTGGGAGATTTTTAGCATAAATCCCTTTAAGACTTCTGGGAAAAATGTTGAGGCTAGTAAGAAGCTGCCGAGTAATTCAGCTGCTTCATTTGCAATCTAGAAGACATTTTCTTTTGATAGCTGAACTTGTTAAAGAATGAAACAAGAACAAGCCGACAGGATAATCAAAGCAAAAGTTTTCCAATATAGAGTCACAGGTTTGCTTCTCCGAAGGGACCCAAACTTCGTTTCTTAAGGTCCTATAAACTCCTGCAGGAGCTACTAGGCTAACTTTACTTCATGATCTCTCTTTTTCTCCACATTACAACTAAATAATACCAAACTTGTTGAGTAAATGTAAGTCAGCCTTTTACTTTGGAAATTTAAACCTAGTTTGGAACTTGTGGAATCATTTTAGGCAACCCACATCTAGCAGAGAAATCTATGTTTATACACAGCTGTAGCCATCTAGCATTTGTACAGACATAGGTCAACATAATTCAACCATCTCTAATTTTGACAATCCTCACAATATCATTTTTACCATAACAAAGACAAAGATAAAGATAAAAAGGGAGGGAGGGAGGAGGTGTAATCATTTTTATCCTTTAAAGCATGCCACCAATTGATATTTGTACTTGGCACATCTAGCAATTGTGTCAAATACTATGTAGCAACATTCAGCCTCAATCTAATGGCTAGGCAGTGCTTAAAAATATACAAAAAAATCTTTTGGGGGGCTAGAATGGTGTTAAGGAAGAGACCAGGCACCAAAGAAATGGAATGTCTGGTTATATATTGTCTAATGGCATAGATGAAGCCAAACAATTAGCAATAGACCATTTGTTCAGTGAAACAAAAACAGTTCTCCCTATATTACACTTCTACAAATCTTGATATCTTATTCTAACAGGCATTAACTCTTCAACACCTGTTAAAAGACCTTTACAGAAGGAAGTATTAGACCAAAGTCAATCCAGTGCTGCTTCATCAATAAATAACTCAGTAGTTAAGGCTACAAACCTTCTGTTGCAATTTACTCAATTGCAAAACTGTAGTTCCTGAAGACAGGAAAAAGCAAACAGCCATGCATATTCACTGACAAAGAAGTACTTTACAATTAATTCTGAATATGTGATTCAGTTTTCGAGTCGACAGTGCAATCAAACCAAAAGCAAGACTGCAATTATCATGAACGCCAAAAGACTGGCACCCTTACCATGTAAGTGATCCTCCAATGACCCTAAAGGCATAAACTCATAGACAAGGAGGCGCTGGTCCCCATCAGCACAATAACCAATCAAGTTGACAAGATTTGAGTGGTGTAAGAGGCTAAGCATGAGAACTTCAACAAGAAATTCTCTATTTCCCTGAAGGCCGTTTCTATCAAGCCGTTTGACAGCAACTACCTGAAAACATAAAACAATTATTAAAGAATAGATTAAACTACATGATTAACATTCTTCACACCCATTATTTGAAATAAACAGTAAAAAATTGCAAAGCTTACACTATGAGCATATTTAACATCACTGGGATCCTAAGTCTATCAGACAAAGCAAGCAACTTAACATAAGAACATGATTAAAACACATAGTCATTGAGATCTATTTCAAATATCTGTAACAGACTTGTCCTGTACTCTCCAAGTGGCCCTTGTAAACACGTCCAAAACCCCCTTCTCCCAATAGACACTCTGGCCTAAAGTATTTTGTGGCAGCGGCAAGCTCTCGAAAGGTAAATGTTTGTGCTGCAATATTTGCTGTTGGTCCATCCTTAGGTACGGTAGGTTCCTTCTTAGAATCAGAAGCACCCCGAGATTTTGATTTGTCTGTTCAAAGAAGTGAATCAGATACATTGGACAAAACGAAAGAAGGAAGATAGAGAACAACAGAATTACAATTAAAAGGGCAAAACAAAAGTTAAAGGCCATATTCATGGAATTGTCACATTAAGTGAGCACATTGGCTTGTTGCAAGTTTACTTGCAACCACTATAAAACTAATCACCTAGAGATGAAGATGAACCCTTTAAACTTTAGAATTGTGCACTGTAATACACTTCTTTGATAGAATACCTAAACTCATCTCTCTTGTGCACAAAGTTAACCATAATAGCGAAATCCCAGATGATTATATAATGTAATCCTAAATTTATGACTTTGATACAGCATTTCACCTTCTATGTGGAAGAAGAAAACATCTCAGGCAAGGCTTTTAACACTTTATTCAACTACATTCAATATCATTTTTAGGAACATTCCAAATTCTCTCTTAAAAGGCATTTACTAGCATTTTGTCGATGTTAGCTTAACAATTATGCATTTACAAGAAATTGAAAAAATCTGTGTTCCTAAACATAAGAGCAGATCTCCCAAATAATGCCTTAGGTACTCCATCAGGGTAAAATTCAAACTAGTTTACCAACAAACAAGTCCTCTAACTAACAATTCATCAAAGAATAACAAACCAAAGCTAAAAGATAGACATAATTTGATAAACCATCTAAATCAATCAAACACCCCAAAATACCCATTAATGTATCAGATCAAACTAGCAACATATCCTAACAGGTACCTATTATCAAAAACTTGAAAACAGAACCAAGAAAAGCACAGAATTCAACATACCCCAGCTGATCAAAAACCAACAAGTTACAACAACACAGAAAAAAGGAGTAAAATTAGGCTAAGAAAATGAGAATTTTTTACCCGAATTAGCTCTATTAACATGATGAGACAGTCCAACTGAGCCATCTTTAGTTGAATCTTTCTTGCTCAGTTCTTTCACAGTGCCCCCACCATTACTCCCCCCCTTCTTTGATGATTCAAAACAAGGAAAACACCCACCCATAATCAAAATTCAAACAAATCAAACAAAACCCAGAACTAAAAACCCAAACTTTAACACAATTCTTCAACAATTACTCCAAAAACATGTTCACTTTCACACTTTTCACAAAAAAAAACCCCCTCTCTAAATTTCCCTTTAAAAATCCAATCTTTACCAACTCTTTTTCCCCCTTGAAATCTTCTCTCTTTTAGCTTCTATCTCTGTGATCTCAAGTGCCCATTTAAGACAAAGATGGAGACCAAAGTGGCTGATCAACAAATCAAAGAAAAAAAAACTTGTGTAAGAAGAGAAGGTAAAGAAACGAAAAATAAAAACGAAAAGAAATAAACAAATAAATGGAAATAATAATTATCCATTAATTAATAGATTAGTGATAGGTAAATTTATTTTCCCATAATTACTTAAGTTATTAATGTGAGTAAAACTTCATCTTTTACTATTAATTGGGGTTTTAATAAATTTCTTGTCTTTTAATTATTGTGAAATTTACCGTTTATGGTAAAAAAATAAAATAAAATAAATAGAGAATTATTATTAATTAATTTAATTAACTATATTTTAATAATAATGTCACAGAAAAAAAGTGTGGGTCCCACTTAGGAGGATGTGCTTCCGCACTTGTGATGGACATTCTCAACGCATGTTTAAAATTAAAAAAATATATATTTAAAAAAAAAAAGGGAGAAAAAAGGGGCTTTGATTTGGTGTGGTTGATTTCCGTGTTTTCCTTTTTGGGAGTTTTGAAATTTGAGCCGTGAATTAGGTGGTGATTAGGCGTGTGATGGAAAACGAGGTGACGCCATGATGCTTGATCCAACAATTTTTTTTTTAAATTTTAAATCTTAGCATGTCAATTTCTGACAAAAAGAATTATTTGTACTAATTACATTTAAAATATTTTTCAAGGGAAAAGGAAAAGGCTTTATTGATTGGTCCAACATGGAAGCCAAGTAGCTTTGATGCCAAATGCACAAGTATAACGGTAGAATATTTATTTTTTTACCAACATGTCTTATAGATATAATATATATATTACCAAAAAAATATTTATTTTTCACTATGAAATTTTTTTTTAGATGTAATGGTTTGTGTATTTATATTATATAAAATATTAAAATTTTTATATTTATATTATATTTTATATAAAAATTATGTATCAATATAAAAATATGAAATATAAATTTTTTTATTTTATTAAATTTATATATATTAATTATTACAATTTTAAATTATTTTTTTATTTTTTTGTGTTATTATATTATATTTTAAATTGACAGGTATAACTTTTTTACTATTGGGGACCATATTTTTTGGCATCCACCAACTTTAAGCATATGATCATCATCCTTGAGACCAATGCACAATTATTGGTCCAAAAAAACCTGATTCCATGGCGATTATCTAAGCTTTTATAGAGAAAGGGATTTGCAAATTTATCTAAGCATGTGCTAAAAATTTATGATAATCTAACATTTAATTTAATAATGACTTTATGTTTAATACATTATTAATATATAAATTTTTTATATTATCAATAAATTAGATGATATTATTTTATTAATAAGTGAATATTAATTCTTAAAATAAATATATAAAAATTTAATTTAAAAAAATTTATTCATTAATAAAATAACATCATTCGATTCACTTCATTAATAAATAATATTAATTGATTCATTAACGGTATATCATATATAAAACCTTAAATAATTGATGTACGATTTTTAAATTTTTTTAAATTAAATAATTAGTTCATTTTTTAAAAATAAAAAGTTGATTGTAATAAATAAAGAAAGGAAAATTGTGACCAGCCATGCTTAGTAGTTAATTTGCATTTATACTTTATCAAGTTTAACCTTTTTTTTTTACGAGTTGTATTTCTTGATTTTTAGATAAAATTCAAATTGGAATACTTTATCAATACAACTGTACAAGAGGTAAAATTCTGTTTTTTTTTTTTATTTTTAATTTAAAAATTAATAAAATTGATAATATATTAAAAAATTCATTATTAATTCATAATAATATAAAAAGATAAATTTGATTTTAAGCCTATATTTTTCTAGTGAATTCCTTTCAACTTCATGAGAAGTTGTATGAATTTTCCTTGAATGTCAGTTGCCATATTAATTAGACAATCCTTCGTCGTATTATGATTTATTGATAAAATATTATATTTTTAATTTCAATAATTAGATTAAATTTATGTGATTTTAAAATAAAAAACACTTTGAAAATTAAATGATATAAACTAAAGTTACTTTAAAGTATAGAAATTAGTGGAGGTTCACCGACAGCCTAATTTCAACCCAAATGCTTTTGGCTTTCTATCGATTTGCAGTTCAAAATCAAAGTGGGGAATAGAAATATATTCTTAATAATTCTTTATTGAAAAAGAAAAGAAAATCAAACTTTTGGTTGACAGTCAACAGCACCAATTTACATTCAAAATTTAAAAGAATATCAATGAGAAACTTTTGTATGGATACTTTTTCATCTCAACCAACCAAACTTTTTTTTACTTTTACTGTTCTCATATGAATGAAAAGGTGACAAGCAATGACCATGGCTCATACCTATAGGTGATTCTATGATTCACTCAAGTTAGAATTTTTTCTTTCAAATTGTAGAGATTTGGTACGCAAGAGAAAGATAAAAAGAAAGAAATAAAGATTTCAAAATTTTAGATGGATTAAAAATATCAGGATTAAACTATTTATACTTGTGAGGTGGAAAGTTTTTGAGCTTAAACAACCCACGATTAGCTTAAATAATTAGCGTTAATTTCATAAGTTTAATTTAAATTGACAGTTAACTATCTATTCAGAATACGATAAATCAATATTTTATGATATTAATTTGTAAATTATTGAAATGATTGAATTAACGTGAATCTAAAGAATTTAAGTTAATCTAACACGTTAATTTGATCAAAATGACCAAAATACTTCCACTTGTTAGCTAATTTATACTGACAAAGAAAAAATCTATTTTACCTTTAATCACTAAAATGCCCCTAACAAAACTCTGGTAAAGGGTCCGACTCAGTTTATCAGGTCCAAGAGACCTGAAATTTATAAACAAAGACATTTTTAGGTTGTTGATTGGGTTGGCTGCCATTAAACATACGATATTTTCTCCATTTTTAGTCAAAATTATATATGCTGAGCTCGCCGCAGAAGAAGCAATCTATTATTGCTCGTTCAAACACTAACAGTTCATTTGGGGCAACTCTAAAGCAAGTATTTAATCTTGGGTTTCGTCTATTGCTCCTTCAGGGTTCATTGTTTGGGCTTGATTTGAGCCCAATGGAAAATCGATGCGTAAAGGAAGCCTAGTGACCCCCTTTTTTTTTCTTTTTTTGTTCTAATGGAAAAAGCAGCCAAAATTTGCACTCCTAAATGGCTAAATTATAGCTTCATTTTTTTAAGAAAGGGAAAATTATGGTGATTGGTGTTGTTATATAATAATCAAAGATTGTTCATAACCAAATTTGTATGAAATTTGATGATTATATTTAAATTAATCTTTATAATCTTCTTTTTATCTTGATAATTAATCATCCTCTCGTAAAAATAATTAAAAATATTGTTAAAATAATAAAAAATTTGAACTTTATAATTTTATTACTTAAATAAGTTATTATATTTTTATTATAATCAAATAAATATTTAATCTTTGATTTGCATTTAAAATAAATTCTTAATTTTTAATTTAAATCCAAATAAAATTTTAAATTATTAATTTGTATCTAAATAAAAATTTAACATAGATCATTATTTTATTTGAAATAAATATTTATTTGAATATAAATCAAAGTATAATGATTTATTTGAATATAATAAAAATATAGGAGCTTATTTAAAAAATAAAATAATTTGGAAATTTTTTTAATATTTTAATCTAATTATATAATCTCATTGAAAACTGCAACTCAAATAGAAAATGCATCCATTTCAATTTCTGGAAAGGAATGAAGTATCTTTTTCTATATTATAAGATAAAATGGAATCAATTCCATCACTCCTTAGACAAGGTGAATATTTGCCAATCTATCCTTTTTTTTTTTTTTTTTGGAAAATGGAAGAATACAAGCAAGCCATGCCATCTTAAAAAAAGCTAAGGTATCACTTGGGTTTTCTCCCTCTCTCCCTTTTTTTTTGGCGCCTCAGGTTCCTTTTGATAAATCATTTGGCTGAAATTGCCACCATGATATTAAATGCAGTAATTCCATGTAGCCATTCTTGACTGTCAATCAAGCACAACATCCATCCCGTTGCAGCAAGATAGAGCTAGTGTTTAATTGATATATATAAATATATATATAATATATGTAGACACCTCAATTTCTTTGAAATTTTACTTATTTTTGTTAATTACAAAATAAGTAATAAAATAAAAAAAAAATTCAGTGGTTGAGTTCATATGAAATTGTGTGTAGATTGAAAATGTTGAGTTGAACTTAAAATCTGAAGGGAAGGTTTTAAAAAAATTAAAACCCTTTCCGAATTAAGATTTTTTAGATCAAAATCTTCTAAATATAGACTCTAACCAAACCTCAAAAATCACATAGAAAATAGAAAAATACACACAGAAAGGGGAAAAAAAAAGGCAAAAGGTAGAGAAATCAGTAAAATAAAAAAAAATTTGAAAATTTTTTTCTTGAAAAATCAAGAAAATTTTCAGATTTCAATGAATTTTTTCAGATTCTGATGAAGATTTAGTGACATTTGAATTTTTTGGTGAGTTTTCTAGAATTCAATTAAAGATTCTGACGAAGATTGAATTTTTTAGCAAACTTTTGATGACTCAACCTAGATTCCGATGTGAATTTTCAGAATTCGATAAAGATTCAATTGGTGTTCTTCGGGTTTTAGAAAGAGATGGAGAGAAAAAAGAATAGGAGAGAGAGAAGGGAAGAAAAAATTTAAGGAGAAAGAAAGTTTCGGCCTATTTATACCCTATTGAAATGACATTGTTTTAGATGTTTAGTTCACCTAGGATCCGTGCATTTTGCAAGTAGGAGGTCCAACCCGAGTGCTTGACCCACTTTGACCCACCTCTCTGTCCTTGGCTCGACCCAAGACGAGCCGTTAGCTAAGCCGTTTTAGCTGTTTCTTCTTTGCAGTCGAGCCGTTTCAACTACTGAACTGAGTCACTTTTGTTTTGGTAATTTTTTACTATTTTGTCATTTATTTATTTGGTTATTTCATTTATTTTTAAAGTATTTTTACATGATTAAATTTTAAGAAAAAATAAAATAATTTTTTAAATATAAATAATAATTATCCCATGATGGAAATTTGAGGAATT